AGTGGAAAATTGAGAATTGGCCTTGCCGAACAGTCAGTGCTTGTTGCGCTCGCAAATGCTTTTACGGACACTGAACTTGAAAAAGCTGGTAAATTATTTTTAATCTTGAAAACTTTAGTATTAGTTGTAGTGGCAGCTTCAGATTCGGCCTTTTTATAATTTGCTCATTCGAAAACACGGGCGATTTTTCTTTTCACTAATTGTAGCAAAAAAAGTAACGCAGTCGATTTAATTCTACTATGTATTGATCAAATTCTGTTGTAACACAATGAAATATTGCGTTACTAGCCTACTCGTTTCGTTGTAACTTTTAGTGTTCAGATGAAAAAATGGGTACAGAGAAGAGAAAGGAGCGAAGAGCAAACGACGCGCTTCTATTCAGAAGCATTTTTTGGTAAAAGTTTTCCGAAAATTTTCATTTTTCTTTCTTCTGAATTCCGTAAATTATTGTTATTACGAAAAACGGGCTGACATGGGAGCGTTTGATATATGCCTACATTTCTGAATGTTGCATGAGGCGAAAAAGTTAGTTCCTCCTCACTTTTGCATAGCAAATGGATAATCTTTCCAAGTTGGTTGCCATGTGCATAGGCATGTGTTCCTAACAGTTTACTACAGTTCGCCCAGTGATCCGTTTTACTTTGAATTAGCGAGCTTACTATAACTTTTGCTCTGGTTCGAATTTACCAAGATTCAGTCCCACGCCAAATCGCAGCTGCTGCAGCCTGCTTTCCTGCTTCTAAATTACGTACACATGGTGCTTAGCGCCTTTCACCCTTTTTCCCCCGAGTATTGATGTCATGGAAAACCTGCGCAACGTTGGCTCAGATGAAGCGGCCACAAGGAAAAGGATGTATGCTGCCTGTGGGTGGCAAACAAGAAAGGTGTATTCTGCTTTGAAAGACAGATTCACTGCAAAGTTGCTGCCAGACTAAACATAGAGCACGAGGGCCGGTGGTGTAGTGGATAGCACGATGCATTCCGATGCGAATTAGGTTGGTCCGACTCCTTCCTGCTCCACAACTGGTTTTGAAAGACGGCTTCGTTTGCCTATAGTTGGAGCTTTTGTCTTGGTGCCTTATTGTGGTCTAGAAGTGGTAACAGATACATACCAAGGACATTGCAAAGTGACTAAAATTTTGCCAAACACTTCTGTTGGAAAAGTCGTTAAGCTGTCAATCCCTTTAGGAAATGAAGACAACGCTAGAGCCGGCAGCAAATCAACCACTGCATTGGTCAGAGCAACTAGAAAATTTGTCATCTGCTTAGTTGGAGAACCAGACTCTGAAATAACAAATATTTCAACCATTCAGTATAGGAATCTTATCTTTATTTATTTTGCAGTGAATGCCCGAATTATGACAAAGTCATCGAAGCAGCACTAAATGATGGCTTATCTGCTCTGCCAGAAAAATGCAAAATTACTCCAGGTTTGCATTTTGAATAACACTTTGTTCAGAAGAAGAATGCACCTAGTTTTAGCTTGTCCTAATTATAAAAAGTGATGCAGCTGAACTGGTCAAAATAAGTGGTTACTTGTCGTTCTTTGATGGATTTCTGGCTGCATTTCTGTGTGTGTGTGTTTTTTTTTTTAAATTTTTCTTTATCCCTGCTTTTTTCGGTTCCAGAAATGAATCATAAGGGATTACGAACTTTTCCAGGAATTCCAGTTAAACCGATGTTAGCGCATCCAACAAAAGGAATTGCTGAAGTGCTAAAACGTTTTGGTAGCACATCATTTGCATGCGAATTTAAGTATGATGGCGAAAGGGGTCAGGTCAGATTTTGCTTGTTTATCTTTTATTGGATTTAAGATTCTTCAGTTTTCCCGGGGAATATTTCACATGGCATATTTTATCATGTTACCAATGTATAGTACTTAAGCTTGCCCACTGTTACTTCGTTCATTTGAAGAACTCGTAGTTGGTTAGGAAAAGTTCAGATCATTGTGGTTCATCGCCACTCGACCTTACCAGCCGACAAGCTCATCATCGAATCTGGGTTTCCATATCCGTATAACTGTTTCATCTTTTAAGGTATTTGTAAATTTTGAATATTATTTTGCAAAACTTATCGAAATTCACTGTCTTTGTCTTGATTTACTCTTTCTGACTAACATTGTTTTTACCGTGATTTGTTACTGTCGTAATTTATTAGTGTTTGCACTGAAGGTTTTCTTACAGATACACTGTGATAGTTTTGGTGTCAAAATCTTCAGCCGAAATCAGGAGAACAACACAGATAAATACCCAGACGTGATACAACGATTGGGAGAAATAAAAGATGAAGAAACAACTTCATTCATCATTGATTCCGAAATTGTCGCATACGATCCTGTGGCAAAGAATATTTTACCATTCCAAATACTTTCAACAAGGAAAAGGAAGGTG